GGTGGTGGTGGTTGTGGCGGTGGTGGTGGTGGCGTGGTAGACTGTGGTGGTGGTGGTGGTGGGTTTTTGTCGTGGTCATGGTGAATTGTGGTTTTGGTGGTTGTGGTGGTGGTGGTGGCTGTGGTGGTGGTGGTGGTGGTGGTTGTGTGGTGGGTTACTGGTGGTGGTGGTGGGTTGAGGCGGTGGTGGTGGTGGTAGTGGTGGTGAGGGTGGTGGTAGTGGTGGTTATCGTCGCTGCGTTCCCGCCGTCGCCGGCGCCAGCGCCGGCGTTGCTGGCCGCCGCCAGCGCCGGCCCCGGCGACAGGTGGGGGGGTTTGAACTCCACCCCCCTTCGGCGCCAGGGGGGGGGGTTGAAACACCCCCTCCTTGGCCTGCCTCCGGTCATCGTCGCTGCGTCCCCGCCATCGGCGGTGCTGTCGGCCGCCGGCGCCGGCGCCGGGGGGGGGTTTGAATCCCCCCCCCCTCTTTGGGAGGGGGGGGGGGGTTCGGGAGGGGGGGGCTTGGGGGGAGGGGGGTTCCTCTGGATTTGATCGACGGCGCCGAGTGTTGGGGTGGGGGTGGGGCCCACCCCCTGGTTCGAAACGCGCCGCCGAATGTTCCCAAGGCAAGCGCCCGCGAAACGCGTTCTCTCGTTTTTTACATTCGGTTGTGAATTCGTTACGCGACGGCGGATTTCGGCATGCGCGCGCGACGACGCGCGCGCGTGCACTTCGTCGTTTTTTCTGCAGAAGGATACTCGCGACGGCACGCGCGCAAGGGCGTTCGAACGAGTTCGACATGCGCGCGCGAACCCCGTTTGGTAAGGCTTTCTGGAAGTGTTGAAAAACTTGCGTTTTTTCTTTAGAATTTGCAATAACGCGCGCGCTCGCTTTTGTTTGAGCATCCGTGTTGCGAAACCATGCGTGTTTTTTATGGATGTTTGAACTCGCAGGTTGTTGCCGGATTCTGGCATGTGCGTGCGAACACGCGCGCGTGTGTATTTCGTCACATTGTTTTTGCGAGGGGTTCTTGACATCTTGTCATTTTTAATAAACGAGTGCGCGCGCATAGTTTTGTTGCAGAGGATGACGGGGGGGGCCGATACTGGCTTGGGTGGGATGGTACGAACTCTTATTTCGGATGGACGGTTGGGGCATAACCAAATGCAAACTGCAATTTGAAAAAGTGTGTCGATAATCCCAGGGGGGAGTAGAGTCTATTTATTCTCTTTTTCAGGGAGGAGAGCCCATGTTGGAAAACTTGGGGTTGTCAATTCCATTGCCCACGCAACCATCCCACCCACGCGCCCGCAACTTGGTTAGCAAAACGCATGCGGCGGCGATTGCGATGAGTGCTTGGTGTTGGTTGGTGTTTTTTTGCGGCCGCGCCAGCCCGCGCATGCTCGCGCGCGCAACGGCCAGCTAGTTTGGCGCGACCACCGCGGCCGCGGTTTCGCTGACCCCCGGGCACTTCCCAACGAGCACTTCAGTGCGAGTCGGCGACTTGGGCGGGCGCGGTATCATGGCGACGTCGACAACGGTAGACACGTTGATGATCGTAGCGGTGCTGGTGACGATGGTGAAGAGAACGATGGCAAAGCCAGTGACGGTACCGATGCTGATTTCGCCGGTGGCGATGGCGGTGTCCCCGCATCGGTGATGAAGGTTTTGGGAGGAATCCGACATGCGCGCGCGACCGACGCGCGCGAATGGCCCGCATGGTTTTTTGGACAGGGATACTGCCCCCCACCCACCCCTCCGCGCACGCGCAAGGGCTTTCGAATGATGTCGACATGCGGCGCGAGAGGTCCTTTTTGTTGAATATGATGTGAATGTTGGGGCGCCCGTGGTTTTCTTAAGAATTTGCAAATGCGCGCGCAGACCTTTGACCGCGGATGTTGTAAAACACGGTGTTTTAACATGTTGTCAGGGTTTTCGGTTTTGAGATCTTTACGACGCCAGGGATTTTGGAACGTCTTGGAGGGATTTCGAAATGCGGTCGCGACGACGCGCGCGTGCGCACTTCGTTTGAATATTTTGCAAGGGGTTCTTGCACCAACCCGCGCGCGACGGCATTCGGATGTGGTGGGCATGCGCGTGCGCGGGGCCCGTTTTGTTAAATTTGGTGCGCATGTTGCAAATTTTGTTTGTGTCATTTATGCGCAAGGGCGCGAACGCAGTCTTTTGTCGAACATGCCAGCTGGAAAACCATGTGTTTTTTCATATGTTTTCGGGGCACTCGTTTACTGCATCCTTGCGACACCTAGGTTTTTGAAGGATGTCGGCATGCGCGTGCGACGAAGCGCGCCTGCGCACTTCGTTCCAGTCGTTGTCCGACATGTATGACAACTGTTGTTCTTTTGATAAGCGAGTGCGCGCGCATATCAATTTTGGCAGAAGATGGTGGTGTTTGCCCTTCAGGGGTTGTGTGTGGTGGTATGAATTAACATTTCGGATGGGCGATTGGGGCAAACCCACATGAAACTTACAATACAAAAGGCGGGGCGGTAAGTCTGGGGTGGAGATCTGATTACAGTTCTCGCAAGCAGGATCTGTGTGGTGCAAGTAATTTCTGTTCGCAGTGAGTTGTCAACTCCATTGCTCGCGCAATCATCCCACCCGCCCGCCCGCTTCTCGGTTGTCATAAACCGAGGCGGCAGTTATTGCGATGAGTGCTTCGTGATGGCGCGTCGAGACGCCGACGCGCGAAAATGGCCCGCATGGTGTTATTTTACACCGATCGTGCCTCCCCCCCCTCAGCACGTGCGCAAAAGGCTTTCGAATGAGTTCGACCTGCGGCGCGTGAGGCCTGTTTGGCAGAATGTAATTGAAACGGTTGTAGCTTTTTCGAGAACTCACAAAGCGCAGCCCATTTTTGGTTGTTGCGAAAACTGGTGTTGCGAAACCATATGTCTTCGATCTGTTCTCGGTGCATTCGATGTTGAAATCCAGCGGAGTTTAAAGTTGATTCTAAGGATTTCGGCGCGCGCGACGACGCGCGCGCGTGCACTTCGTCATGTTTTGTTTCATGAGGTTCCCACGGTTGCACGCGCGCAGGGACGTTCGAACGATTTCGGCATTCGCGCGCGAGAAACCAGGTTGGTAGCACGTTATGAAACGGTTGAAACCTATAGTTTTCATAAGAATTCGCAAGTGCGCGGGCGCAAGCTTGTTGCTGAAACCTGGTGTCGCGAAGCCATGTGTCTTTACATGTTTTCGGGCCCTCCAATTTTGAAAGCTTTGCGAAACCGAGGGCTTGCGCGCGCGCGACGACGCGCGCGTGTGCACTTCGCTCATATTTAGGATGGGCGAAGTGGCACAATCGTATGCAAATCGCAATGCGGAAAAGGGGGTCGTTAATTCTGGGGGAGGGGGAAGGTGGGGGATATTCATTACTCTTATAGAACAGAAGACTCATTTCGGAAAACTTGGTGTTGTCAATTCCATTGCTCGCGCCCCTCCACCGAAATATGGTTTGCAATACCCGCGCGGCGGCGATGGCGGTGAATGCTTGGTGCTTGCTGGTGCATCTCCGCGGCCGCGCCAGCCCGCGCACGCTCGCGCGCGCAACGGCCGGCTAGTTTGGCGCGACCACCGCGGCCGCGGTGGCGCTGACCCCCGGGCACTTCCCGGCGGGCACTCAGGTGCGAGTCGGCCGGCTGGAATGTCGCGGTCCCATGGCACGGTCGACCACGGCAGGCATGAGGCACGAGGACAATGGCGACGGCACGGCCAGTGATGGCGCCGACGACGACGATGACGGCGTTCTCGTGTCGGTGATGAGGATTTTGGAATGACCTCGACATGCGTGCGCGGCCGACGCGCGACAGTGGCCCGCATGGTGTTATTTCACACGGATCGTAACCCCCCAGCACGCGCGCAGGGCCGTCCAAACGATTTCGAGATGCGGCGCGAAAGGCCCTTTTGTTGAATGTAATGAACCAGATGAACAATCGATGGTGTGCTTGACAATTCGTAAGAGCGCGTTGCACAACCATTCTTTTTTAAAATATGTTTTTGGGGCACTCGCTTTGGATATCCTTACGGAACTTTGGTTTAGAAGGGTTTCGGCATGCGTGCGCAACGACGCGCGCGTGTGCACTTCGACAAGTTTTCTGTCTGGGGGTTTTGCGACAGCATGCGCGCAATGGCACGCGAACGATTTCGACATGCGCGCGTGAGGGATCCACTTGGTAGCATTTTACTTCCAGGTTGATTTTTCTTGTTGTCAGAATTCGCGCGAGCGCGAGCGCACATAAAACAAACAACTTCTTTTTTCGAAACCAGGTGTTTTCTTAGAAAGTTTATTCATGGGACACCCGGTTTTGAAATCCCAACGCAACCAACATGTGTTTGAGAGATTTCTGCATGCGCGCGCGACGACGCGAACGTGCAAAGTATTTAACATTTTCTCTGAAAAAACGATGTTGGCAACCGATGTTTTTAATAAGCGAGTGTGCGCGCATAGTATATGTTGCATAGGATGAGGGGGGAACCGCATATATGTTGCTGGGATGGTACGAGGTACGAACTCATATCTAGGATGGGCGATTGGGGCAGAATCATCTGTGCATTGCTATACGAAAGAGGGGAGCGGCTAAGTCCTGGGGGGGGAGATTATAATAGTTTCTTGGAGAGGAGAATCTAGGCGGCGATTTGACGGCGACGAGGCAGCGACAGTGACAGCATAGCCGCCAGACTGACAATCCCGTTCAGACGACGGGCGGCGACGAAGTGGCGACGGGGCGGCGACGGCGACAACATAGCCGCCAAACCGACAACCCCGCCCAGACGACGGGCGGCGAGGAGGCAGCGACTGGGCGGCTACGGTGACAACATAGCCGCCAGACTAACAGCACCCCTTCAGTTTCTCATTCCAGAAGTAAGAACCCCTAAGTGCAAACGTTGTTTCGGGAATTATCACATCGACTCGCCGTCGTTGTGCACCATATGGTTCCGCTGGAAGATCTCAGGTTCTCGCGGGCATCGCCGCAATCGCCTCAAGTGAGACCGTCTTTAAAGCGCCGCCGGGGGGATTAATTTGTCTGGGGTACCGGCCTTGCTCCAGAGAGCTGTACCGGACATCGTATTCCTTGTGCGGCCGATGCTTCAGATGGTCTGAGAACGTGTTGGATTGCCAGCGACTGTGCGCTACTTGTCTCGCTGGTGGCCGTTGCGACTGCGACTGCTGCGCTCCCGGCCTCCCCCCCGGGGGGCCTGCTCCTTGCCTACGCCTGGCCGCCAGCCAGGCAGCCGCCAGCGGCCGACCCAGGCGGCGCGGGGGGCCCCGAGGAGGGCGACGACGTCCACACGCGCACATCCACCGCCGCTTTCCAGGCGCAGCCTGGGTTCCAGGGGGCGGTGCCGACGCCCCCCCCTCCTCCTCCTCCTCCTCCTCCTCCTCCTCCTCCTCCTCCTCCTCCTCCTCCTCCTCCTCCTCCTCCTCCTCCTCCGCTTCCTCCTCCTCCTCTCCTCCTCCTCCTCCTCCTCCACCTCCTCCTCCTCCTCCTCCTCCTCCTCCTCCTCCTCCTCCTCCTCTTAGGGATCTCTCGGAAGCCTCTTGGAGCCATATTGGGGCCCTCATGGGGCCTTCGAGGAGCTTAGAAGGGTCACCCTAAAACCGCCCCCTTTTTTCGGAGGACCTCCTGAGCCCTCCTCCTCCCCTTCCCCCTCCTCATCCCCCTCCTCATCCTCCTCCTCCCCCTCCTCCTGCTCCTCCTCCCTTTCCTCCTCCTCCTCGGCTCGGGAGGCGCACGCACCGCTCTCCCCGTGCCCAGGTCTCGCTTGCACGTGCAGTGGAGGCCCATGCCAAGGAACACCCTGCTCGCCTCCAGGGGTGGCCTGGGGTTCACTCGGGCCCCTCTACAGGAGGAATATCCAAACATAGTCAAAACAATAGTCGTGGGAGGATTGTTTTATTATTTCGAAACATTATTGGAATATTTTCTGACTATTATTAAGTTTCCGCCCAAAATCCGCCTGTAGGGGGACAGGCCCGACCTGACCCTGGGGTTCGTGGGTCTCGGTGTTTCTTTGCCACGGGACGCGTGACGTTCCCACACTACAAATCAATGGACGTCCTGGGGTCTCAGGGTTGGGTTTCTTGTGGAAGGTTTCTTGTGGGCTGGCCTTCACTGCAAGTGACCCTTCGCCGGAGCGGCCCTTGTGGTGCGGGCCCACAACAAAGGGTCCCCCCAGCAATGATTTTTAGCGCTTGGATATTTGACCTACCCTCGACCCTCTCCAACGCCGCGCACCCAAAGGCCATTCTCGCCCAGGGTGTTGCCCCTGCGTGTGTAGTCGAAGGCTGGGCGTGGCCGGCGGCGGTGGACATCTGCCTGGACCTCGCCGCCCCCCAGGCATCCGCCGACATGATTTCTGCCAGTCCGCGGCCCCAGAGGTCCCGACCCCTTCCCCAGGGGTGTTTTTTCGCCCCGGATCCGTCTTTGATGGCCCCCGGGCCCGATGACGGGCCCTGGAGGCCGAATGGCCCCTCCTCCTCCTCCTCCCCTCCTCCTCCCTCCTCCTCCTCCTCCTCCTCCTCCTCCTCCTCCTCCTCCTCCTCCCTCCTCCTCCTCCCTCCTCTTCCTCCTCCGAACAGAAACCACCGGATTGCAAAGATCGCATCCTGGGCTCTCTGGGCCCTGCGGGCAGCACCGATGGGCGGCCGCCGCGGGCGCCGCTCGCGCCTGCCCGCTGCCGCGGCGGCCTGCGCCGCGGCCGCCGCCGCGTCGGCGGCCGAGGCCTTCAGCGCGCCGCCCCAGGGCGCTCCGCCCCGCGCGGCGGGCCCGGCGCCGCGCCTCGGGCCGCGCCCGCCGCGCCAGCCGGGGGCGACGGGCCTGGCCGCGTCGCCCGTGCCGTTCACGCTGCTGGGCCTGACGTCGGAGCTCGGGGCCAGCGAGGCCCAAAAGAGCCCCTAACCCTCATAGCAGGGGCCCCCAAGAGGCGCCCCAAGAGGCCCCAAGAGGCCCCCACGAGGCCCTCAGAGGCCCCGACACAGCCCCCAAGAGGCTTCGAAACTGCCTCCCAGAGGCCCCCGAGAGGCCAACCACGAAAGCTCAACCAACATCCATGAGGCCTCTGACCCACCACCAACCGCCTCTGAAAATGGCAGCCGCCCAACGGCACCGCATTGACAACAACACCCAGACAGACGGCAGCGGCAAGGCAATATGGGCCAGCGGAATGAGCGAAGCGATTACATAACACGATGAAGAAGTGGCCTCAATGAGGTTAACACTGTGAAGACGTGGCCTCATTGAGGTCTTTGTTATAGCACAAGGGATCATGCATCTAGGCGGCTTGGTCTGATACGTCTGCAGGAAAGACCCCCTATCCCTCAAGTTCTCGACCCTCCTAACTCATGTCCCCATCCCAAAGGGTAAGGTTTTTTTCTTGGGTTGATCGCAGGGGCCATCGGACGGGGCCACAACCCAGTACGAAAAGCAACTGGTGCTTAGTGAGCGCCGCAGCCCCTCCCATTTCAATGTTGATCGTGCGGTCAGCGAAGTGCAACAAGAAAAAACAAGTGGCACCGCATGGAACGTTGAGATTGGGGGGTGTATGTGTGTAGAACACCAGTTGATTTTCGCAAGGGGTTGTAGGACGGCGAGAAGTCCGTTCCAGAGCGCCCTGGAACGCTCTCAGGGCGCTCCGGAGCCTCCCAGAGAAGGCCGCGGCGCCCGAGGCATCCTCCAGAGACGCAGGATCTCAGAGATTCCAGGCGTATCCTTGCCCAATTTTCGGAGGTGGATAGACCTCCTACCCTGACACGTCGATTAGCGAATTGGCCGGTTTCGGTTCGCGAGAGGGCGTCGCGGCCGTCATTTTTGCGGGTCCAGGTCCGTCGGTTTCGGTCCTAGGCCGTTTTCATTAAAGGGTGGTTCACTGAAGGGAGGTTTGTCCACCGCCCAATTCGATCCTCTGTACAGTCGAGGTTGATTAGTAGGTGGACCCTGCCAAATCGAGGGTACCCTTGTGCCCTGTCTATCCCGACCTATGCAACTTGCATGTCCTCTGGTGCTCTGGGGCCACGTTGCCGTCGGAAGAGTCTGGGTTACTCTCGGGTGTCCTGTCCAATCAAATCCGACGGTATGCAACTGCGCCGTTTGTTCCGACGTGCGGCCTTATGTGAGAGCGCCTCGGCCACCAGGGCAAACTCCACCTCGGACACAGAGTTTGCCATAGGTTTGCTGTGGTCTCAGTTCCGTCCACTCGGGCGCGTCGAGAACACACGGCGCGGCGACATATATCTGCGAACAGCGCCCCATAGCGCTAAGAGTGCCAAACAGCGCCGGATAGCGATCAATGACGCCCAAAATGTGCCACATAGCGTCGAATAGCGCCATGTGAGGGAGATGCATGGCGTCCGCTTTGCGCGCTATTGGACGCGCTAGTGGGTGCCATAGGGGCGACGAACAGTTTCCGTGAGTGACTTTCTAAGGCCAGGTTCCATCTCGATCCGATCGATCCGGCTCGGTGTCGACGTCGGCCGACCCGATCCGATGGGACTCCAAGTTCCCAGCGATCCAATGCGGCCCGATGCTTGCACGGTGCTGCTGTGCACCTTGGCGCAGACGATCCGATTCGATCTCGGCTCCGTGCCGGCGCGGCCCGACTCGACGCACGCTCCGATTCGATCTGATTTCCCGCTCCGGTGCTGACTGATCCCGCGTAAGGGGGAGGGGGCGGGCTCACGGAGGGGGCAGGAGCGAGGAGGAGGAACGAGGAACGAGGAACGAGGAGGAGGAGGAGGAGGAGGAGGAGGAGGAGGAGGAGGAGGAGGAGGAGGAGGAGGAGGAGGAGGAGGAGAACCACCATCGCCCACTCATCGCCGGTAGGGGCACGACATCCCACCTCGCCCAGGACCGTGCTGATTGGTTTTCGTGGGCCTCTTGCCGGTCTATCGGCGACGTATCGCCGATTCGGGTACGAAGGCCTCCCTCCCCCCCAGAGGAGGAGGAGGAGGAGGAGGAGGAGGAGGAGGAGGAGGAGGAGGAGGAGGAGGAGGAGGAGGAGGAGGAGGAGGAGGAGGAGGAGGAGGAGGAGGAGGAGGAGGAGAGCCGGTCCCGCCCAACGTTCAGGAGAACGTGCCGATATTGCCACCCTTCCCTCGTCGCCAGGGCTGGCTTCGCGTCGCAGTCCTGGTCAGAGCGCACCCCGGGAGAGGTTCGGGGAGCAGCGGTGTCGGGATCTTTTGGTGTCCCCAGGAGCAGCTGCTCCCGGTGCAGATCGCGGGGCTGCTGAGCTGGGCTCTGCTGGTGTTCTTCCCCGGGTGGAAAGGCACAAAGAGTCTTGCCCTCCTGGGCCCCGTGTTCTTCGCACTGATCTACGCGGCGGCGATCGTGCACAGCATCCGGGGCCCGGTGTGCTTGTCCCTGGAAGCCTTCTTGTCAGGGAAGGCGTTCGCCGGCTGGCTGCACTGCTGCGCCTTCGATCCCCTGGTGGGGCTGGGCGAGGTGCTCGACGCACGCATAAAGCGCGTGCCGCATCTGCTCGTTGTGCCGTGCTTGGTGCTGACGTGCTGTTTCGGGCCCGTGGGCTTTTTGGCTTACCTGCTCGTGAGGTCGGTGTGGCTGCTTGGCCGGTGGTCGTTTAGCCCCCGTGGCGTGAGGGGCTTCCTGCTGAGGAAGTGGCGTGAGACACGAAGCCAGAGGTAGACCAGTGCCTCGTTCTTCCAGATCTTCCAGAGGCCCAGAGGAAGGCCAGGCTAGGGGTAGAGGTAACCAGATTTTCCATACCCTCTCCAGATTGGAACAAGGTAGCGCAGTCATTGGCGTAATCGTCACCATCACCGTCACCACAACCATCATCGCCGTTATCGCCATCATCATCATCATCAGCATCATCATCATCATCATCATAATCATCATCATCATCATCATCATGATCATCATCATCATCGTCATCATCATCAACATCATCATCATCATCATCACCACCATCATCATCATCATCCTCATCCTCATCCTCATCCTCATCCTCCTCATCATCATCATGATCATCATCATGATCATCATCATTATCATGATCATCATCCTCCTCCTCCTCCTCATCATCATCATCAGTTTCATCATTTCCATTATCATCATCATCGGCATCAGTTTTTTCTTCTTTATCGCAGTGAACGCTTTTTTGCCACAATCTCCACCAGCATTGCCGTCACCCTCCGTGCTTCAGTAGCAATGCTTTTGATTATCTGTCACTTGTTGTTTGCATTCATTCCCTTGTTCGTGTGTCGTACTGGTCACCTCCATTGGTTTCGACACTCGTATCATCGCCGTGGCCAATGGCATTGCCATTGTTCTTGTTGTTTGTCATCAGTTGAGTCACAACCATGACCGTCACATTCATGACGGGCCAGGTGGCGCCATGCCATCATCGCCGTCACCATTGCCATTGCTGTTATCATGGCGTGTCCTTCGCAACACCAGTGCTTCCCAGTGATGGCCATCTGCCTTGCCTGTGTGAGTATCATCATGAAGGCCACCGGCAGCGTCATCACTTCCGTCCAACTAGAATATTCCGTATCTTCAGTTCAACTAGTCGTCATACTGATTGCAATATAATATCACGTTCATTGTGATGTTAACGGTTACTCCCACTGCATTGTCTTTTGCCTTCGCCAACATTATTATCCTCGTGACTGCAAGGGCCACTGCCAGCGCCCTAACAAGTAGCATTGCCGTTATGTTTGCACTTGCTGGTTCTATGACAGGTCTGTACTCTCTGCCGACGGCCTCCCAGGCTGAGTCATTCCTCCTCCTCCTCCTCCTCCTCCTCCTCCCTCCTCCTCCTCCTCCTCCTCCTCCTTCCTCCTCCTCCTCCTCCTCCGTGACTATCCTGGTTGTGTGTGTGTGTGTCCTTCTTGGGACCTTGTTGGAGCATCCTGGGACCTTCCAGGGACTCTGGGGGCCACTTGTGGGACATCCTGGGAAAGGTGAGGGTTATCTTGACCAGTATCGGCTGCTTCCTCCCAGTGCTCATCTTCCTCCCCCTCCCGGACCAGGAAAAAGACCGGGATGCTCTTTTCAAGCAGCTGGTCGACCTCCACCCTGGCGACGACACGAGCTGCGGCGCGTGCGTGGGGCTGCTGCAGCCGACGGCCCAGCAGAGGGGGAGGGGCCAAGAGGAGGGGGACGAGGAGGATGATCAGGATTCTGTTCACTTACCTCAAGAGCCTCCCGAGGACTCTGGGGACCTCTGGATAATGATGATGATGATGATGATGATGATGATGATGATGATGATGATGATGATGATGATGATGATGATGATGATGATGTTGACGATGATGATGATGATAATGACGATGCCGATGCTGATGATGATGATGCTGCTGATGATGACGACGATGATGATGACGCTGATGGTCATGATGATGACGATGGGATGATGATATGGTGATGATGCAGATGATGATGATGATGATGATGATGATGATGATGATGATAATGATGATGACGATGATGATGATGATGATGACGACGATGATGATGATGATGATGATGATGATGATGATGATGATGATGATGATGATGATGATGATGATGATGTCGATGCTGCTGATGATGAGGATGAGGATACGGATGCTGATGCTGATGCTGATGCTGGTTATGAGGATGGTTGTGATAACGATAACGACGACAATGTTGCTGCTGCTGATGATGATCACGATCAGGATGATAATGATGATGCTGATGCTGCTGATGATCATGATCATGATCAGGATGCTCCTCCTCCTCCTCCACCTCCTCCTTCTCCTCCTCCCCCTGCCCCTCCTGCTCCTCCTCTCCTCCTCCTCTCCCTATTCCTCCTCATCCTCCTCTTCCTCCTCCTCTCCGCGCCCAGACCTTCGGCCACGTTCGCAGGACATGTGTTCCGCTGGCGGCCGTGCTTTCGCCCTCCGGCAGACGTTGGCACCCGCGCTGCCCACCCGCTGTTGTTCGCAGCAGGCTGGCGCCGGTACGACAGGCAGCTCGCCCCCGTCTTTACGTCAAGCTTGCGTGTTGAGTCGCGGAGCTCAGACGCGTGGTTGTCGTGGGCGAAACATTGTCCCGCCTATGTTTCCAACATCCTGGGCGGTTCAATCGGGCGCCACGTGACGGGAAAATTGTCAAACGATGTAGCGGCATGTCAGTAGGAGTTCAGAGAATCAGCGGCCGAATCGCGAGATGTCACTCTGGACCAAGCAATTGAAATACACAGCAAACATAGTTTTCATCGTCGCGTCTGACCACGAGGGGCCCGAGCGCTGAATTTGGCCCATCTCGGGCGGCCCGGGCGGCCAATGTGTTCCGCGGAGACGGACCATGCGCCGCGCCGAAGTCGCTGCCTCTTTCACGCACACGCTGCGCGACACTTGGAGGACAGCACTTCGGCCCGCTCCCGCGCGGCCCCGCTGCCGCTCTCGTGCGCTTCGACGCGCGAAACATTTGCCGCGCCCGCGCGGGAACGCCGCTTCCACGCGACGTCTGTACGGAGCTTGCTGGCGAGGGGCACAGGTGGCCCTCTCGCGCGCGG